CATTGAGTACAATTGTGTTGCTAGCTATGATTGGTCACAGTGATCACATGGTACATACAGGGCCAATCACAGCCCAACTGTACCATGTGATTAGCTGTGGCCAATCATAGCTAATCACAACAAAATACACTGAGTGAATCCGTTTCATTCAGTAAATATGCTTGTTTATAGCAGTTATAATGGACAAAAAAAATCATGATCACTTTCCCAGAGTAGTACCATGTTGCTATGGCAACATTATATTGCTCTGGTCACAGGGTGTTTAAAAAATCATAAAAAAAAAAAATGTAATACATTTTTTTTTAATATTCCATTTTTTCTTCATGCTGTCACCAATCAGTGTCCCTGATCACCGTCACACCAGTTATATGATGATGCTGTACTGCGCTGGTGACAGTATGTAAAAAAAAAAAAAGTGAAATTTTTTTTTTACAATTTCTTCATTTTCCAAAAAATTACACCATCAAAAAAACTCGCCATGTCTTTTACTAAACACCTTGGACTGTCTACTTTCAGTGGTCATTTGGGGAATATCTGTTCCATCCTGACATTTTTGGGCCTCAAGAAATGAGATGTCGGTATATCAGGACTGATCGATTTTCAGATTTTTACCATAGTTTGTGTACTCTATAATTTTCCTACAGAGTAAATAATAAGCACTGTTTTGTGTTATTTTTACCAAATAAATATAGCAGAATACATTATGGCCTATTATTTTTAAGAACAATTATTTACCTGCAAAATTTTTTAAGAAAAACTTATTTTTTTTTAATTTTTAGTCTTTTTTCATTTATTTAGCAAAATAAAAACCCAAACAATGTGATGATTTAATACCACCAAAAGACAGCTCTAATTGTGCAAAAAAATTATTAAAAAGTCAAATGGGTACAGTGTTGCATGACCACGCAATTGTCATTCAAAATGTGACCGTGCTGAAAGCTGAAAATTGGCGTGGGCAGGAAGGGGGTGAAAGTTATTTCTTTACTGAACTTCTGTAGAAACAGATTACAAATATTCACAGATAGGTAGTTCTTCAAGTATGAAAAGTAGAACAGTCCAGGCATTGGCTATAATAAGAGGCAACACTTTCTCTTGCATAATTTGGTCACTGAGTGCTTTTTTAAATTCAAGCATTTCTCTTGCAGTTCCAGGAGGAGTGCTGTAGTGCACTCACAGATCAGGGCATGCTGCTCATAGTCCCAATAGGCCAGAAACTTGGTCTGGCATCTCCCAAGCCGCAGGGGTACCATTCTGCAGTGAGACAAAGGACTCGCTTCCCCTCAAGCTGCCAACATTTTTCCCAAAAGACCCTGCGAAGACTCCTGCCAAACCTTTTATAGGTAAAAGGTGTAGCCTACCCAAAGGAAGTGACCCAATGTAGGGAATGTATAATAATTAAAAGGGAACACCCACCTTCCTATAGAAAAAGTAGTGAAGATTTAGAACCCCTTTCAGGTTTTTATTGATATCGCTGCTTGGTAGATTTACCTTCTGTTTTAGTCTTAGTGACCTTTGTCACCGAGACAGAAAGTGATGTGAAATCCAAATGATAGATTTACCACCAGATCATTGCTGGTTATTTATCAGTGACATGAAGGTGCACACAATGAAGGCTGAAATACTTTGATCAAGTAGCAATATCCAAGTTATGGAGGTGTGGCCATGTGTCATACAGTACTTGTAAAAATCAACTGAAGATCAAAGTGTAGGGTACACAAAGGTAGACAAGTTCAAACAGAGGAAGCAGAGAGTGAAACTGCTATGGCACAAACAGCATAAAAAATGTAGGGGAATGGAGTCCATAATGTAGCCAAAGCTGCAGTACTACTCAAACTGTGTTTTCACATCTGCAAAGAGAAAAAGATGAAGTGCTGTTTTATATGTTGAGAGGTAGCGGTCATGCGGACTATGGAAGTCTGCAAAGACAGCAAAAGAATGTTAATAATAAATTATAATAAACCGTTAAAGATAAAAAGTTTCCGTTTTTTTCCATGCATTCTAATGGTTTACAGTTTAGGTCCTGTTTATCGAAATAACATTGGATTTCTTCAGCTAACACTTTATCACTATTTTTCATTATGCGTGTTCATCCAGCAATCCATCTAAATACATTTTACCTTTGCTTAGAGCATAGCTTAATCTTTATAAAATGTCAACATTTCCAATTTAATTTAGTAGAATCTTCTTGCATATCATGTAAGTACTCTGTTTTGCAACGTAAATAATATTTTAAATTAATTTATGAGACAAAAATCATACAATGGTTGCCATATTAATGAAAGATAATCTGTGATTAGTTTCTATAGGTTATGGAGAACATTGCTCTATAGTTTGTTAATTTGTAGTATCTCCTGCAAATTACCAGGAGCAAGCCGTTCTTTAGTATATTTTTAATTAAATAAATGGGGTCAATGGGGCTAGTATAAAATATAGATACATATTACTCTGACAAAGTCAACAATCTGGGAAGGTTTCAGATTTCCAGCTGTTTTACACCCTGTATTTGCTTTAAATTTCAGGGCTAAATTTCAACTGTGCTCCTCTGAAACCAATACTTAGGGACACATGCACCTGTGGCATTATTTTTAAGGAGTTTGTAATAAAGCAGCATAAATAGAAATGATACAATGTAAATTATAGTTATCTAGTACAGCCAGATTTTACTTTTCATCAACTTTAATGGCTGATTGGTATACTGAGAGTTTTTCCTTATGTAAAGTGGACAAACACCATAATTATCATCATTATGGCCCCACAGACTGTATATATTATACCTTACTGGTATAGTTGCAACTGTCCTCCACTTGTACAACTCAACCCCCACAATTTGTAATATTACTACTCACACATCTAATGGATGACTACAGCAAAAGAAAGTTAATTTTGTTTCCTCGTTATCCTCCTGCCCTGGATTGCTGAGTGGACAATTAAGTAAATCAGCATAATAACAAGATAATTCCTGTGTTCTCTTCTTCTGCTAACAAGTTCTACGTGTTAGAAATACAACATTGTTTTGAACTTTCCTTCTTCACTTTGAGTCCTGATGAGATTTTGGTAAGCTATTTTAAGGATTTTAGGTACTTGTACTAACAGTTTTTAAAATAATATTTTATGATTTTTATGTAACACATACAGTAACTATAAATAAGAATGTTTTTTTTATTGTCCTGCACAACCAGCTAATCAGTGGCTCTTCCTGAGGACACTTTCTGGGTAGGCACATCCCTAACCTGACCTTACAACTGTGGCTAGAGGAGTGACCTGACCTGCAGTCAGACCAAGTCTTAAGTAGGTTGAAGGTTAATTTTGTAAACTTTTTTTCAGACTTACTGTAAGGACAATGAGGGGGATCAAAAGAAGCAGAAGCTAAAAAGCAGGATTAGTGGGGTGTTAACTGGCCAAGTATGTACAGCATACGTTCACATTATGGCACACTTACTATACTTCTGTAAATGCTTTCCTCCAGTGACAAGCTCAGAGATGGCAGCCCTGGTTGTCACTGCTATCCATAACAGCTGGGAGAGCAGACCATTTGGGAGGGATGGTGAGGGTAGTGCAGGAAATCCTAGACAATTGGTGGTAATAGGGGATTCTATAATCAGAAGGACTGATAGGATAATTTGTCGCCAGGATCGCCTCAACCAAATGGCTTTCTGTCTCCCTGGAGGGACTGGGCATGACCCAGATGTCTTGGTCCATGTTGGAACCATGACAGAATACATGGAAGGTGGAGGCTCCTTAAGAATCGATTTAAAGAACTAGGCTGTAAGTTGAAGGGAAGGACCTCCAAGATGATATTCTCTGAAATATTACCTGTGCCAAGGGCAACACAAGAAAGACAGGGAGAGATTAGAGAGCTGAATGCATGGCTAAATATCTGGTGTAAGAGGAAGGATTTGGGTTTCTAGAGTACTGTGCTGACTTTCCATTGAGGTGCTACCTATATGCTAAAGATGGTTTGCACCTAAATGGAAGGAGGACTGCTGTGTTGGGGGAGAGGAGGAGGAGGAGTATTTAAACTAGGGTTGAGGAGGGATAATTTGATTATAATGGGCAGACAGATCAGACAGGGTTTAGTCCCTATTGGTGCATGGAATGGGGAAAGATGGGGGGAGGGCTATAGCAGGTGATAAGAAGGTTCCCATGTTACAAAGAACCATTGGAATTGGTACCATCTGTATGAAGAAAACATTTTAAAAATACATGTGCAAAATGTGACAATGCATTAAAGTGTTTATTCACCAATGCCAGAAGTCTGCCAAGCAAAATAGGTGAGTTGGAAGCTTGGAGAACTATGGTTTAAATGGTATTGCTGAATCTTGACTTCATTCTTCACATGACTGGGCTATTAATATTCCTGGTTATGGTCTCTTTCAGAAAGATAGGGTAAAAAGGAAAGGTGGTGGTATCTGTCTCCATGTGAGAAGTGATGTCAAAGCGAGTGTGAAAAAGGAACTAGTTGATGAAGAGTGTGATGAGGCTGAAGCGTTATGGGTGGAACTGCACATGGGTGTGCGTACTACAAAAGTAATCATTGGAGTTTGTTTTAGGCTTCCTAGTGTTAATGAGGAGGTGGAGACTCAACTCCTTGCACACATCAAAAGGGCTGCAAGGGCTGGGACAGTGATAATAATGGGGGATTTTAACTACTGTATTTTTCGCTCCATAAGACGCACTGTTTCCCCCCAAAAAAGGGGGGAAAATGCTTCTTTAGTGTGTGCTCTCGGCTTAACAGCTGGGTGCCCAGTGCGCATGCGCGAGTAGTGCTGTGCTTTGTGAATGGTACGGCATCTTCTGGGACACATGACAGGTCCCAGAAGACGCCGGACCGGACCAATCACAAAGCGCAGCGCTTCTCACGCATACTCACTACTCACACTAAAAGGATGACAACTCCACAGAAGTGGGAGCGGGTACCTGTCAAATTAAGGTACCCGCTCCCCCTCCCTCCACAAAGGTCAGCAGTCATCTCCTGCACTGTCTGCAGTCTCTGGTCATCTCCTGTACTGTCCGCTGTCTCTGGTCATCCCCTGTACTGTCCGCAGTCTCTGGTCATCCCCTGTACTGTCAGCAGTCTCTGGTCATCCCCTATACCAGTGATGGCGAACCTTTTTGAGCCCGAGTGCCCAAAACTGCAACACAAACCAACTTTTTTATTTCAAAGTGCCAACACTGCAATTAACCACTTGCCTACCTGGACGCACTGACAGACGGCACTGATCGGTGGCACTGCTGGGCATCATTGATGGGTGGCACTGATGGGCAGCACTGATGGGCGACACTGCTGGGCACTGATGGATGACACTGCTGGACACTGCTGGGCATCATTGATGGGTGGCACTGATGGGCAGCACTGATGGGCGACACTGCTGGGCACTGACAGGTGGCACTGCTGGGCAGCACTGACAGGTGGCACTGCTGGGCAGCACTGACAGGCGACACTGCTGGGCACTGATGGGTGACACTGCTGGGCACTGATGGGTGACACTGCTGGGCATCATTGATGGGTGGCACTGATGGGCAGCACTGATGGGCGATACTGCTGGGCACTGACATGTGGCACTGCTGGGCAGCACTGACAGGTGGCACTGCTGGGCAGCACTGACAGGCGACACTGCTGGGCACTGATGGATGACACTGCTGGGCATCATTGATGGGTGGCACTGATGGGCAGCACTGATGGGCGACACTGCTGGGCACTGACAGGCGACACTGCTGGGCACTGATGGATGACACTGCAAGCAGTTAATCTCACCTCTGGCAGCGTCGGTGTGGCTTCCAACCCAGCAGCTCATTCCCATTCATGCTGAACACGTTGCCCCTGGCCCCGGAGCAGTGTGGGAGCAGTGTGGGAGCCTCTTCCTCTCTTCCGCGCCCATCCCCGGGTACATCACCCCTGGTGCCAGAGCCACATTGGAGCCGTTTCCTCTCGTCCACACCCACCCTGGCCCCAGAGACATGTGGGAAATGTAGTTTGATGGGGGTCCAGTGTGGACGAGATCTGGATGGCTGGTCCGTGTGCGCTCATCATCCTCTTCTTCCTGGCGTGCCCACTGAGATGGCTCTGCGTGCCAGCTCTGGCACGTGTGCCATAGGTTCGCCATCACTGCCCTATACTGTCTGCAGTCTCTTGGTCATCCCCTATACTGTCCGCAGTCTCTGGTCGACCCCTGTACTGTCCGCAGTCTCTGGTCATCTCCTGTACTGTCCGCAGTCTCTGGTCATCTCCTGTACTGTGTCCGCAGTATCTGGTCATCTCCTGTACTGTGTCCGCAGTCTCTGGTCATCTCCTGTACTGTGTCCGCAATCTCTGGTCATCTCCTGTACTGTGTCCACAGTCTCTGGTCATCTTCTGTACTGTGTCCGTAGTCTCTGGTCATCTCTTGTACTATGTCTGCAGTCTCTGGTCATCTCCTGAACTATGTCTGCAGTCTCTGGTCATCTCCTGTACTATGTCTGCAGTCCATTGGTTCAGAATATTTTTTTCTTGTTTTCTGCCTCTAAAACCTAGGTGCGTCTTATGGTCAGGTGCGTCTTATGGAGCGAAAAATATGGTACTTGGAAATTGACTGGAGCACTGTAGGAAGGTAAAGGGCAAACACTCATAACAGCCTATTACAAGACAATTTTATGGTACAGTTCATATAGGCCCCAACTAGGAATGATGCTCTGCTGGACCTGGTAATCTTAAACAACGTTCATATAAAAGAACATCTGGGTAGCAGTGACCATAACATGATTTCATTTAATGTTAACTGTAAACAACAAGCACATATGGGAAAAATAAAAACACTCAACTTTAAGAGAGCTAATATTTACAGTCTGAGAGCTGCTCTTCAAGACTTAGACTGGGACTGGGAGGGAATATTGGCATGGCTGAACACAGAGCAGAAATGGGAGTTCTTCAAAAAGACTGTATGTGAACACACTGCAAAATATATTCCCATGGGCAACAAGTTTAAAAGGCTAAAAATCAAATCTATGTGGCTTACGGCCAAAGTTAAAAAGCTATAAGTAATAAGAAAAGAGCTTTCATAAAATGTAAAAATGAAGGAATGCTATCATTGTTTAAATATTACAAGAAATATAACAAAAATATGTAAAAAGGAAATCAAGGCCAAAAAAATTGAAAATGAACGATAGATTGCAAAATATAGCAGGACAAACCCCCAAAAATTCTTCATGCTGGCCTTTTAGAAAATAATCTAGAGTGTGCGACTGGGGAAAAAGAGAAGGTATATTTATTAGCTTTGTGTATACAAAGAAGCATGGGGGGACTCATGTCCATAATGGGCATGGTATTGACACAGACCCAATTGATTCACAATGGCTCAAAATTGATATGGTCCAAAAAATTTTAAACAGAATAAAGGTGAATAAAGCACCTGGACTGGATGGCATGCACCTACGAGTCCTTAAAGAATTGAGCTCTGTCATTTCAAAGCCATTGTTTCTAATTTTTAGAAATGACTGCTATAGCAGCACTGGATTGGCGTAAAGCCAATTTGGATCTATATTTAAAAAGGGATCAAGTAATTATAGACCTGTTAGTTTAGCTTCTATAGTTGGGAAGATACTGGAGAGTTTAATAATGAAAAGACCACATAGATGAGTTCTTGCTTGAAAAAAAGTATGTTAAGCAACAGACAGCATGGATTCCTGAAAGACAGAAGTTGTCAAGCAAATTCGATTTCTTTTTATGAGGAGGTAAGCAAAACCTTGGACAGAGGGGTGGCTGTGGGCGTGGTATACTTGATTTTGCAAAAGCATTTGACACAGTTCACCACATACGTCTAATGTGTAAGGTAAAATCTACAGGCTTGGAAAAATCAGTTTGTAAATTGATAGAAAACTGGCTAAAAAAAACATATTCAGAGAGTAGTGGTTAATGATTCATACTCTGAATGGTCTAGGGTTGTTAGTGGTGTACCCCAAGGTTCAGTGTTGAGACCCTTACTTTTAAATATATTTATAAATGATACAGGGTCTGGGATTAAAAGTACCATTGCAGTCTTTGCAGATGACACCAAGGTGTGCAGTGGAATAATGTCCTTACAAGCTGACCTCAATGCACTGTTTAATTGGGCAACTATGTGGGAAATGAGGCTTAATGTTGATAAATGTAAGGTTATGCACTTGGGGGCTAAGAATATGCATGCATCATACATACAAGGGGGAGAAATACTAGGGGAATCAAAGGTGGAGAAGGATCTGGGAGTTCTGGTAGATCGCCTTAATAATGACATGCAATGCCAAGCTGCAATTTCCAAAGTGAGCAAAAACCTCTCTTGTATCAAAAGAGGTATAGACTCCAGAGAGAGAGATATCATATTACCCCTGTACAAATCATTAGTAATACCTCATCTGAAATATGCAGTTCAGGTTTCGGCACCAATTCACAAAAAGAACATTGGGGAACTGGAGAACTTACAGAGAAAGGCAACCAAACTGATAAGAGGCATGGAGAAGCTCAGCTATGAGGAAAGATTAGAGGAACTAAATGTATTCTCTCTTGAGAAAAGGAGATTAAAAGGGAATATGATCAACATGTATAAATACATAAGAGGTTCATATAATAAACTTGGTGTAGTTATTCACCTTAAGGACATCACAGAGGACAAGGGGGCATCCTTTACATCTGGAAGAAAATAGATGTAATCTCCAAATATGGGAAGGTTTCTTCACAGTAAGAGCTGTGAAAATGTGGAATAGACTCCCTCAAGAGTTTGTTCTGGACAGCTCAGTAGATTGTTTTAAAATAGGCCTGAATTTTTTCCTAAATTTACACAATATAACTAGATACACATAATATAACTGGATACTAACATATATTATAGGTGCCTCTCTGGGGATCAGGAAGGAATTTTTTCCGCTTTAGGAGCAAATTGGATAAGGTTTTGCTGGGGTTTTGCTGGGGTTTTTTGCCTTTCTCTGGATCAACTGTGGGTATAGGAATATAACATTTATTGATTTATCGATTTATTTATGGTTGAACTAGATGAACTTTTGATTTTTTTTTCAGCCAGACTAACTATGTAACCACGTAACTATGTAACCATGAAGTCCAAGGTCCTTAACTCCACTCTATCTCTGCCCCTGCAATGTTCTTCTCTTCTGGGTCCAGCATCTTCTTGCTTCACGCATTGGGCACTGGAGGTACTTTATCTTTACACCTGGGTCCATTTCTGGTATCTTACAGATGTAGGGAAAGGGACAAAATTATACGTTGCACTATGGATGCAACAGATAAAAACATTTGCTAGCAGGTAATCAAAATAGTTTTTTTGGCAGAAGAGACTTTAATATGTCACTTCTACCAAAATACTCTACCTGATGGCAAATTTTGTATTAATATAGCACCCTTTTAACCACCTCCTGCCCGCCATAAAGTACAATGATGGGCGCAAGGCGGTTCTCTCATTCTGGGACGACGTCATGTGGTGTCGTTCCATTCTAACCGCGCATGCGCGGCTCTGGGAGCACGCAGCACAGCAATCGGTGGTGCGCTGTGTCCATCGGACACAGCAGATCACTGATCAATGGAAAGAGCCGAAGATGTCGGCTCGGTCATGTGATGATGCGTCCAATCACAGCTGATCACATGTAAATAGCCTACCATGCACATCAATGCCACATATCAGTGCCCATCTGAGCTGCCTTTCAGTGTCACCCATCAGTGCCAGTCAGAGCCACCTATCAATGTCAGTCAGTGCCACCTATCATTGCCAGTCGGTGCCGCCTATCAGTGCCAGTCAGTGCCATATATGAGTGCTGCCTTTCAGTGCCCATCAGTGATGCCTGTCAATGCCCATCAGTGCCACCTACCAGTGCCTCCTCATCAGTGCCACCTATCAGTGTCCATCAGTGCAGCCTATCAGTGCCCATCACTGCAGCCTCATTAGCGCACATCAGTGAAGGAGAAAAATCACTTATTTACAAAATTTTATAACAAAAAGAAGAAACATTTTTTTTCCAGAATTTTCAGTGGTCTTTGGTTTGTTTAAGAAAAAATAAAAACCCAGAGGTGAATAAATACCACCAAAAGAAAGCTCTATCTGTCTCAAAAAAATGATAAAAATTTCATATGGGTACAATGTTGCATGATTGCGCAATTGTCATTCAAAGTGTGACAGCTCTGAAAGCTGAAAATTGGCCTGGGCAGGAAGGGGGTATAAGTGCCCGGTAGACAAGTGGTTAAAGGAAAATATAAAAATATACTAAGTGATATCTTTAGACTGCCATTACTAATTTGCTTAAAAAATGCTCTTTACCTAGATATTTTTTGGTTTAACACTTTCTGAGTCACTGATTTGTTACAAACAGAAATTGAAGTCTGAACTCCACATCTGCATATTTGTTCTCAGGAAAGTGATTGAAAAAGGACTGAAGCTGGAGGAACAGCATTTAGCCAGCTAATTCGCATTTTCAGAAGCAGAGATAAGCAACAGCAGCCTGCACAGGTATCCTTAGAAATGTATGTATATAAGTATTTTTAAAAATGTTTCTTAGGTTTAGATAGAGCGGTGAAGGGTTATTCAGCTTCTTTGTTTGTCTTAGTGGTATCTCTGAGATAGAAATTGATTGAATATATAGGGGTTTAACCCTCTCCAGATTTATTTTTCTACCTTAGTATTTCAGGTGTTCATTGACAATGGTAAATATTTAGTTCCTAACAGTGTAGGCGTGGGAAGTGAACAAAAGGTAGCCTCTTCCTAACAACTGTTAAAGATCACATTTATTGCAATATGCCCTAAAATTGCATTTTCCTTGTTAAAGTTATAGATATGGAGTAAAAGGTAATAGAGATTGCCCATGTGTCTCACAGGCACATGCTTGCATAGGTTAAAAGGAGGTAGACTTGGTCTATAGCAATGGTCTCTAAACTGTGGCCCTAGGGCCAGATGCGGCCCTTTTCTAGCCTTTATCTGGACCTTGGGGCACTATTCCTCCCAATGACATGAAGCACTATTCCTCCCATTGACACCAGCAGTATGGCATAAATCCTGCCAGTAACACTAATGATGGAGCACTATTCTTCTAATTAATATCAATGCTTGGGCACTATTCCTCCCACTGACACAAACAATGGGGCACTATTTCCTTAACTTATACAAGTGGTGGGGTACTATACCTCCCATTGATATCAATAATGGGGAACTACTCCTCTGCCTACTGACCACCAACCCTGAGGTAATGTTTATTCTCACTGGGCCTAGGCCATTTTCTATCGCCACTGGACACAATCCGCCCCCCCCTAAAGTCTAAAGGAAAGTGAACTGGCTCTTTGTTTGAAATGTTTGGAGACCCCTGGTCTATAGCAACCCACATGTACATCTGTTCCTGAATTTAAATTTTGCTTGCTGCTTTCTTTTTGATTAAAATAACCTTAGCACTCTACCTGCTGAATTTCTGGACAAAAAAAATGGAATTTTATAAAAAAAAAAAAAAAAAAAATGAAAGAGGTTTTAAAACCAATAAAGAAAAATGTAATTTTTTGCAGCTTACTAATCTTTAAATGTGGTTATTGCATTTTGCTTTCCTTTTTCCTTTATTTTATCCTGGTGATCTGGCCAGCTACTCAGTTTATGTCTAAATGTTGGTACAGACTGGTCGAATATCGGCTGGTATCACCCAGTTTAACAGAAACTGGATGACATTTGTCCTGTGTGTACAGCAGCCTGTCTGACAGAAGCTGGTCTTAAGACTAGCTTTTATTGAATGGAAATGCTGGAAAACCAGCATCCAATCAGCTCTTGCAGCCAATGGCAGTGCCCTTGTCAGAATACAATAGCTCAGAGCTCAGCTCAGAAACCTCTAATTTCTTTTTGTTCAGCCCACTGGGTTCAACAAAAATAATCTCCCCGTGTGTATCAGGAATTAGACTGAATCCTCTCCCTTGAAAGAGCAACAGAGACACGTTTGAATAACAGCATTGTCAATCAGGAGAGCGGGTAGTGTTAGATGTGCTAGCACAGTTAGATGGACTTGACTAACAAATTAAAGCAGAACTCCAGCCAATACTTTTTAAGCAGTTACAGAGACATTTTTCTTTTTTTGGGGGAAAAAGGTTTTAAAAAATGAATAAAACCGTATAATTTTAAACACCCCTGTCAGTGTTAAATGGTTTGTCTCAACCCTCTAACTGAATCTTTGGAGGGACAGCTTGGTATCTTAAAGGATGTTGAAAAATAATAGACTTACTAGCTGGATCTGTAAGTGAAAATAAAGTAAAAAAAAAGCCTGAAAAAAAAAAAAACAAATGCAGCCACCATCTGAGGACTGGTAAGCTGCAATATACAGTATTATGTTTTAGTTTCTGGGTTTAATACCATTTTAATCTAAATGAGAATGGTGGACACCAGAGTTTCCTCTTCAACATCCCAACCCAAACTGTGACATCTACACGAATCACTCACTACGTCACAAATAGAAACCATTGTACCATGCTATGCTTTTTCTTTAGAGGTGTTCCAGCTGACAGACCCCTCACGAATGATAGTTGCAATGGGAGGGAGGAAGGAGAGTGGCTTTCAGGATATTTTGTCTTGATGTCAGGAGCTATGGTGTATCTTTTTTATTCATGCCTGTTTAAGTAAAAATATATACAGTTGCAAGAAAAAAGTATGTGAACCCCTTGGGATTACGTGGAGTTATGCATGAATTGGGCATAAAATGTGCTCTGAACGTCATTTAAGTCACAACAATAGAAAGAACACAGTCTGCTGAACATAATACTACACAAACATTAGATGTTGCCATGGTTTAATTGCACATAACATGTAAACATTCACAGTGCAGGGAGGAAAAAGTATGTGAGGCCCTAGCTTAATGACTTCTCCCAGAGCTAATTGGAGCCAGGAGTGAGCCAACCTTGACTCCAATCAGTGTGATGATATTGGATGTGTTGCTGACAGCTGTCCTGCCCTTAAAAAACACACACCTGTTTTGGGTTTACTGGTTTCAAGAAGCACTGTCTGATGTGAACCATGCCTCGCAGAAAAGAGCTCTCAGAAGACCTGCGATCAAGAATTGTTGACTTGCATGAAGCTGGAAAGGGTTACAAAAGTATCTCCAAAAGCCTTGATGTTCATGTGTCCACGGTAAGACAGACTGTCTACAAATGGAGAAAGTTTAGCACTGTTACTACTCTCCCTAGGAGGGGTCGTCCTGTAAAAATGACTGCAAGAGCACAGCGCAGAATGCTGCATGAGGTAAAGAAGAATCCCAGAGTGTCAGCTAAAGACCTACAGAAATCTCTGGCACATGCTAACATTTTTGTTGACACATCTACAATAAGGAAAACATTAAACAAGAATGGAGTACATGGGAGGACACCACGGAGGAAGCCATTGCTGTCCAAAAAGAATATTGCAGCACGTTTGAAGTTTGCAAAAGAGCACCTGGATGTTCCACAGCACTACTGGCAAAATATACTGTGGACAGATGAAAACCAAGATTGAGTTGTTTGGGAAGAACACACAACACTATGTGTGGAGAAAAAAAAGGCACAGCACACCAACATCAAAACCTCATCCCCACTGTAAAACATGGCGGAGGGAGCATCATGGTTTGGGGCTGCTTTGCTGCCTCAGGGCCTGGACGGATTGTTGTCATTGATGGGAAAATTAATTCCAGAGTTTATCAAGACATTTTGCAGGAAAACGTATGACCAACTGTCCGCCAACTGAAGCTCCGCAGAGGATGGGTGATGCAACAGGACAATGACCCAAAGCATACAAGTAATTCAACAAAACAATGGCTGCAACAGCACAGAATATGCCTTCTGGAGTGGCCCAGTCAGAGTCCTGACCTCAACCCGATTGAAATGCTGTGGCATGACCTTAAGAGAGCGATTCACACCAGACATCCCAAGAATATTGCTACACTGAAACAGTTTTGTGAAGAGGAGTGGTCCAAAATTACTCCAGATCGTTGTGCAGGTCTGATCTGCAACTACAGGAAACGTTTGGTTGAGGTTATTGGTGCCAAAGGAGGGTCAACCAGTTATTAAGTCCAAAGGTTCACATACTTTTTCCTCCCTGCACTGTGAATTTTTACATGTTATGTGCAATTAAACCATGGCAACATCTAATGTTTGTGTAGTATTATGTTGGGCAGACTGTGTTCTTCTATTGTTGTGACTTAGATGATGTTCAGAGCACATTTTTTATGCCCAATTCATGCAAAAAACTCCACGTAATCCCAAGGGGTTCACATACTTTTTCTTGCAACTGTATTTAGACAATGTTACATGGCCAGTCATAGAAATATCCTTTTTGGATAGTTCTAAAATATTTAAATAAGACAGCTATACAATTCCAAATTAAAATAAGCAGAGAATAAAAAAAAAGATGAATACAGAAGATGAGAAAAAAGAAAAAAAAGCTAGGTTTCTTCATAAGAATATCTGTGTTGTCTCTTTCATTAGCTAATATAGCGCTTTTGTGATCAGTTCTTGAAAATAGCATTGTTCCTTTATTTACCCTTAATAGTAGTTTTCTTTGTCCCTATATTAGATAGTGAAAAATAGAAGAGAGACTTATAAAAGGATTTAGAAATAGGGACAATGACTTCAAAGGAAGATTGAATGACACTGTGATCCTTAGGTCCCTGGACATGGGTGGTTGAGAAGTGAGAGCTTTGTTTGGGAGGTGTCACTTCACAAAGACAAAGTTACAGAAACAGTTGGGAAATTTTAACAATGCCACCCCCCACATACAAATACACACAACTGCTTCTGCAGTCATTCTTCTGAAGGTTCTTCCCACATTTGATTAAGTTGCTTTAAAGCTCCCATCATTCATCCACAAGATGATTGTTCCATCTTTAAAATAACCAGAAAGTCCCTATAAAACAATAAAGACTAAAAAGAGGCTTTCAGTGGATATCTCAGTACTAGGAAAGGTGCAAAGTTT